GGAGGGTCCACGACTCCCCACAGCTGCCTGCACGCGGCTCTTACCTAGACCCGGCTCCAGCTATGGGGCCGCAGCCCGGCCATGGTAAGAGCCTCATGGGCAGCTATAGGGAGCCGCGCTGAGGACCCTCTACCTGCCTGGGGTGAGAGGGTCAAGAACAGCCCTCGGCCCGTGTCCCTGCCCTGCGGGCCCCCCGCCCAGGGCAGGTGGAGGGTCCACAGCGCGTCTCTCCACAGCTGCCCACACGGCTCTTACCGTGGCTGGGCTGCAGCCGCCTAGCTGGAGCCAGATCCATGTAAGAGCCGCACATGGCGCGCAGGCAGCTGTGGGGAGCCATGGACCCTCCTGCTCTGGGCGGGTGGGGTTAGGGACATATGCCAGGGGCTGCTCTTGACCCCCACCCCACCCTGAGCAGGTGGAGGGTCCACAGCATGGTGCTCCACAGCTGCCCGGCTCCCCAGCCGAGCTCCAGCTGCCAACCTGGTTGGGGGGGGCGGGGCCTCGGGGGTAGAGGAGGTGCGGGGCGAAAAGTGGATGAACCAGGCTGGTCCACGTTCAAAAAGTGGGAGGGCCATGGCCCCCTGACCCTCCTCCTCCATTCTGGTGCCAACGTCTTGAGATTGCGTCTGCTAGTTTCTTAAGTACCTAGGATGAATTACATCAGGCTTTGCTGAGTTGAATGCAACTAACTTATCTAAATATTCTTTAACCTGTTCTGGCTTGTGTTCTTTCCCCCTTGTTGTTAATATTAATTGTATGAAGCATCTGGTCACAATTAACTTTTTCAGAGAAGACTGAAGGAAAACAGGTATTAAACACCTCAGCCTTCTTGGTATCATCTGTTATTAGTTCTCCTTCCCTGCTACACCATGGACCTACAGTTTCATTCATCTTTCTCTTGCTCCTAATGTACTTATAGAACCTCTTTTTATGACTTCTATGTCCCTTGGTAGGTGTAACTCATTTTGTGCCTTAGGAATTCTGATTTTGTCCCTATGTGCTTGTGTCATTTTTTTGCACTCATCCTTAGTACTTTTTCCATGTTTCCTCTTTTTCTAGGATTCTTTTATGATTTTCAGGGCATTAAAGAGCTCCTGATGGAGCCATATTGGCCTCTTACTACTCTTCCTATCTTTCCTTCACATAGGTATAGTTTGCTGTTGTACCTTTAATATTATCTCTTTAAGCAACTGCCAGCTTTCCTGAACTCCTTTTTCTCTTAGATTTTCTTGCCAGGGGACCTTATCTACTATCTCTCTGTTAAAGTATGTTCTATCAAAGTTCACTGTCCTTTTTCTGCTGCTCTCACTCCTTCCTTTACTCAGAATCATGAAGCCTATAATTTCATGATCACTTTTAGCCAAGTTGCCTTCCACCTTCAGATTCATAACCAATTCCACCCTGTTAGTCAGACTCAAGTCTAAAATGGCTGTCCCCCTAGTTACTTCCACCACCATCTGTGATGTCCCCAACACATTCCAAAAACTTATTGGACATTTTGTGTTTTTCCATCTTACTTTTCCAAGAATCATCTTAAATTCCCTCATTGCTACCAAGTCTTGTGTTTTGGATATTTCTATTATTTGTTATAGAAATGCCTCATCTACCTCCTCCTTCTGGTGTGGTGGTATATAGTAGATCCCTCTCATGACATCATCCTATTCTCCCCCCTTTTATCTTCACCCCAAACCTTTCAACTGGTCTGCCTCTCACCTCTTTCTGACCCCAGAAAAAGTGTATACATTCTTGAAATACAATGCAACAAACACCCTCTCCCTTTTTTTCCTTGCCTGTCCTTCCAGAACAAGTTATACCCCTCTATATCAATATTCCAGTCATGAGTTTTATCCCACCAAGACTCTGTACTACCGACAAAGTCATACTTTAGCTTGTGTACTCAGATTTCCAGTTCATTCTATTTATTCCCCATATTCCTTACATTGGTGTATAGAGATCTAAGATGTTGAGCAGATTCCCCCACTGTTTTTCCTCTTGTTACTTGTACTACTGTAATGTAATTTCTATTTCCCTCCCCCCACCCCCCTCTGACTTCCAGCCCTCTGTCAAAGTCCCCCTTTTAATACTTACTTGTGAGCTTTTGTCACCTGCCCCTTTTGAACCTAGCTTACAGCCCTCATCACTAGGCTGGCAAGTTGGTGTCCCAAAATGCTCTTCCCCTTCTTTGTCAGATGGACCCCATCACTTTTACTTTATCTCATGGTTTTGGAAACTGTTGTTTAACATTTTATATTCTTTGAGACACAAATGATTAATAACTTTGCAAACCTTTACATTGTAATAAAATAATTATTTAGGGGCATTGTTTCCCCTAGATCCATATGTAGAGGGATCAGACATGCTTTCTGCATGGATGCAAAGACTAATTGCCAGCAGTCACAAGTTACCACACAATTTTTTGTAAGCAAACACATTTATTCAAAAGGTGAAAGCATTACAGAGAAAATATATTAAAAACAAGAAAAGAACTTGCATGCATGCTAAAAAGCTAACCAGAGTCACCCCACTCTAACCTCAAGCTCTGGTAGATGTCAGTCCTTCAAAACCCACAAAGATTTTTTTCCCAAGGTTACAAGTTCATAACTGTCTCAGGTTCAGAACCAGAGCAACCATAAATAGTTCAGTCTTTCCTTTATACAACTTGGGCCTTTGATGTTGGTCTCATGTAACAGGTGATCAGCAGACAAAGGCCATCTCCTCAGGGCATAGCTTCAAAATGCTGGACTTTTGCATAATCAGAGGTGAGGAATTTGCATTAACCTCTCCTTAGGTATTTCCTAGGAAATCCACTTCACATATATTGTCCTACAAGTTCATTCCTGTCTGGCACTTTGTTCAATATAGTCCTTTGATTATCCAGGCCTTACATCATATCTCCTCCTACAGAGGTTACATACAATCCTGGATCACAATAATACACATCTTTGCATTTAGTACAATGGACCCCAAAGATACCTAAACTTAATTCAACAAAGTTTTTCAAGGACATTGCTGGAAATTGTCATATCTGTCACACAGAATGTCTGATGGTTGTTCTGGTCTGCTCGAACTAGGTCTATTTTGGGAATCCCTGTGTTCAAAAGATCTTCTGTAGGACTGAGCCTTTGAGAGACCACTTGTGGTTGTCAGAGAATTGCTTACTGACTTGATCTATCATGATGTTCTGAAGGGTAGAAACATGCAGACACGCCAGTCTGATTTGGTTCAGAATGCATCAATTCCATAGTTGTATGGTTTCCTGACAGTGTGGGGATGATCTTGACTGTTGACATAATGCATAGCTTTGGTGTCATCTGTTAGCATTTGGATTGTGGGACCCTGACAAAGAGGCAGGAATGTCTTGCATTTGAGGTAGATATCCCTGAGCTCTAGAATGTTTCTGTGGAAAAAAGCTTCCTGACTGGACCATAAGCCCTGAATTTGAAGGCAATGTAGGTTAGCCCCTCTCCCCCACATATCTCTGGGCGGTGCAGTCTGTCACCAGAGTTTTGGTAGGTAGAGGTGTGGAGAAGAGTCCTCCGCTGCATACCTAAAGAACGCCTTACCACCAGTGTAATGAGAAGAGGACTTCTTGTGGGCCTGTGACTATGTCCATGCAGTGTCTGCTGCGTAGATACAGTGATTTCAAACACCTTTCCAGGAAACCTAGGTGAAGGCTGGCATGCTGTGTGATATTAAGTGCATGAGGCCATGTATCCGAGACGTCTGAAACATGTTTTCATTGATTGACGAGGCTTGTTATTGTGGGAGGTAAGCTTTGGCTGGTATGAAATCTAATAGTGCTCCTATGAACCCTGTGAGCTGAGTCGGAGTCAGTATGGATTCCTGTCTGTTCACTTTGAGATCTAGTGAGGCAAAGAACTTTAGAATTACCTGAATTGAGTCAATAAGCTGTTGGGGTGATCCTCTTCAAATCAGCCAGTCATCAAAGTAAGGACAGACCTGGATCCCTTGTCTCCTTAGAAGAGCTGCCACTACTTCTAGACTCTTGGTGAATACCCTCAAGGCCACAGAAAGATCAAAGGCCCCTGATCAAAGGACCCTAGTAAAGGGATGTTTCTGACAGGAATCTGATGTATTTCCTGTCAGTTGGGAGGACTAATATATGGAAGTAGGCATTTTGCAGGTTGAGAGCCATGAACCAGTCCTGAGAATCTAATGAGAGGATTCTGGAGGGCAGAGTCACCATCCTGAATTGGAAAGGACATTGAAGGTCAAGGATGGGCTGTCAACCCCCTTTCTTTTTTGGGATAAGAAAGTAATGCAAATAAAAGCCTCTGCCCCATAACTCCAAGGGCACTTCTTTCACTGATTTCCCTTGTAGAAGGGAATCTGCTTCTTGTTTTAACAATCTCTCATGAGAAGGGTCCCTGGAAAGGAATGGGGAAAGAGAAGTGGGGGGAAGAAGGAATTGAAACTGAATTGGATACCCCTTGCTTACAATCTCTAGGATCCACCAGTCCGAAGTAATCCCAGCCCAATCTTCTCAAAAATAAAAAAAGACAGTTGCCAAAGGGGAGTGAGTGAGTGTGTGTGTGTGTGTGTGTGTGTGTGTGTGTGTGTGTGTGTGTGTGTGTAGTAA